ACTGGCAAGGAGTTGCCATCCAGGTTGTTGCAAGGTGCTTGAACCTGGTTGGCAAACTGCGAGGCATTCTGCACTTCCGGGAACATCCGCGGCCCCTTGCCATAGGCCACTTTGTTGCCCTTCGAATCCGAGGCCTGCCAGGGGTTGACATTAACACATTGTTGCGTCATGAGTCACATGTCTGACATGAGGGCATTGGGCATGGTATAATGCGCATTACATGGCATTACTATTTGACGTCATGCCGGGTGCCCTTTGCTTTCTCCCAGACCTCCTTATCAATTGCCAAGGATGCCCAAGCTGCTGGAACTTCACATTCTACAATGCCCTCAATGGATGCATCAACACCGTCAATGTTCATCTTGACCACTTTGTCACCCTGACAGCGAACAACTTGCTTGAAGCTCATTAGCATGAGTTTGTGCAACCTCATACACGTTCAAACATAGAAGCGTTGGTAACTTGCAGTCTATCAGTATTCTACCTTCTTGCCGTACATCTTCTTGATGCTCTTCTTCAGCATCTCAACTGCCTCTTCGTAGGGCATGACCGCACCTAATCCGGGTGGCCAACCGGTTGATGTTACTTGTCACCAACCTCCAAGACAAGGCATACACAAATCTCAGGCTGCCACTGAGTTTGAAGAAGACGGTCTGCATGATCATGTTGATGCGCTTGCCAAGTCCAGCCTTCACATGCAAACAGATTAGAAGAGTCAAACAGCTTACAAAACACAAACTGCCACACCCTCGGCACCGCCTTCACGGCAATCTTGGTAGCATCGATAATGTACAACTTTGCCTGCAAAGAGTGTACAACACACACACACACAAAATCCACGCAAATGTATGTATGTATCAATATAACTACTTTCATTCGCAAATGCGTACTTTACATACTCCTGAGTAAGGATCTAGCAGGCATGGCCCGCCTTCTTCTCTGCCAAATCCCGACGCATTTTGGCTGGCAGCTGCTTCTCCAAGTCACTGACATCCCAAGAGCAATTGATGACGCATACTGCGTTCTGTTTCAAGTACCGTGTCATGTCCTCGGGCAAACATGCAGTTGAAATCCTACAATAAGAAGCTCAAGACGTGCGATTCTGCACTTGCTTTGCGATACCTCAAGAGTTTTGCCAAGCGACATAGTTGTGCACGTAGCTTGGCTTGTGAATGGCCATATAGTCGGCAGCACGGACGTTGTATGGAGCATGAATTGGTTTCGGTCCAAACCTGAGGTGGCTGATGGTGACGCCGCCGCTCTTCTTGGCATCATACTCAAAGTATGCCTAGCAAGCCAGGGAAATCAAGGACAAGCAAGGATAACACATCGGAACAAGCACAAATCAACATATCAACCAGAAAAGCACTGGAAGTCTTTGCCTGCGCATGAAGCTCCGTTCCCATGGCGATCATCTTCACTGCACTCTTGTTCGCACCAACGGTACCATCACTGCCAAGTCCATAGAACATGCATTCCGTGGTGCCTTCTGGTAGGACATTGAGCCAAGGACCCACAGGCAAAGAGAGGTGTGTCACATCATCTTCGATGCCAACAGTGAATCTTGGCTTGGGGCTTTCCTGGGCAAGATTCTCATAGATCGAAAGCACCATGTTGGGTGTGAACTCCTTAGAACCCAACCCATAGCGACCTCCGATAACGACAATCTCAGAGTGGGCGCTGGAGTGGAGCATGGAGGCAACCTCCAGCAAAAGTGGCTCTCCTTGTGAACCTTGTTCTTTTGTACGATCCAACACGCAAATGCGCTCCGTTGTGGTTGGCAAAGCGGCCAAAAAGCGGGAGCTGTCCCAGGGTCGGAAGAGGCGTACCTTCAGAACACCGACGCGTTGTCCCTTGTGTTTGGCCAAGAAGCTCGCAGTCTCTCCGCAAGTAACTGCTGCACTGCCCATGACCACGATCACATGCTTGGCCTCTGGGTGGCCTTCGTAGCCATAAAGAGCAAAGTGCAAACCAGTTTTCTCTTGGACCAACTTGCCCTTCTCTTCAAAGAGATCTGCCAAGCCATCGTAGAAGGTGTTACCTGCCTCAACGCATTGGAAGAAGATATCAGGACCTTGCGAGGTGCCTTGCACATGCGGGTGACGTGGGTTCATTGCTAGGTCATGATGTTCCTTCACGGCCTCCCAATTGATGAAGGACTTCATGGTATTGTAGTCAATGAGTTTCACCTTGTTCACTTCATGACTGGTGCGGAAACCATCAAAAAAGTGTTGCACAGGAACCCTGCGCTCCATTGACACAAGGTGGGCCACGATTGCATTCACCTGTGCCATTTCAACTGACTCTGAAGCCAGCATTGCCCATCCGGTCGATCGGCAAGCCATCACGTCACTATGATCTCCAAAAATGGACAATGCCTGTCCTGCCAAAGCACGGGCAGCCACATGCATGACACAGGGCAGCAACTCGCCCGCGATCTTGTACATGTTTGGGATCATCAAAAGAAGGCCTTGACCTCAGCAAACTGACACTACTATACAAGGATTCTATATATATTGTTATAATAGTTATAGGTATAATTATATACCTCAGGAATCCAATCTCAAAGGTACGACCAGGTATTGGTCAGCAACATTGGTTAATTGACTTTTCTTCTTTGAAACTTCAGCCACAAGACTCGCGGTGAAGGTAGTGCTGAAAGCGCCAGCTTTCAATGAACCGTGCAAGGCCCCAGCGGCCCCAGCTTCACTTTGCATCTCCGTCACACTGAGTTTCTGTCCATAGCAGTTGATGAGACCTGCGCAAAACAAGATGAACATAGAAAAGAAGGAAAGGAATAATCATTACCTTGAACAACAACAGCAACCATACATCTGATATTTTAAAAAATAAAACAAACAACTTGGTCTTGTAAAGTCTTCAGGCCTTGTGCAGCCCATTCATCGACCATCTCTCCCATAGGAGAGCTTGGAGTAATGGGATAAATGAAGGCGCAGTCACTGAGGGCGTAGGCAACGTGAGCTGCAGCCTGGTTCCCATCAATGCATGCCACAGACCCTTCTGCAGCTTCAATGATGTCGGTATCGGCGCACTGGTGTACAATCGTCTTGTTCTCGGCTTGAAACATTTTCCTCTGCACTTCTTTGGCTTTCATGAACTGCTCATACTCGATGTCTGCTGCACCAGAACCGGCTCCTAATGGTTCCAATCTCTGAGGAGTTTCTTCCTGACGTTCCTGACCTCTCATCAGAAACTGAAGGCAAAGACCTCCATAAGGACCAAAGGGGCTTGTCCTTAGCAGTAGCAAAAAAACGATCGTTGCTCAACTGTCCTATATTCACACATCTGAATGAATTGCCCATTACTTGCTCATGAATCACCTGCTGAATCGGCCGACCCGCCAATGGTGGCGGAGCGCGCCCAGTGGAGTGGATTCGGGCCGTATGGGCAGAATGACATGACTGTTACAAAACGTCAAACTGCGTTGAAACTGTTTCCAAGCGTGTTCCTTTGGCACTGTCTCAAAGCACGTGCGTCGGTGGCGGTAGTGATGGCTCCAACCTAACGTTTCAGTAAATTCCGAGACATCCGTCATTCGCACACATCACAAGTCCGTCTAATCATCTCAGCGATCAAATCCTTGGGCTCCAATTATCCTGCTGGGTCGCGTGCGGGGCGCCTCGTTTAGTTTCAGGATGTTTCAGGATGTTTCACACGAGACATGTTTTGATCAAAATCGTATGCAATCCCAGGGTTTTTGTCTCAGCTCCCCAAGTCTGGCTCACTCAGAGGCTGTTTTCCGAATCTAGCAAATGTTTTCTCGAGGCACACGCGTTGCTTAGTTGCCATACATGCAAAGCAGGCGCTTCCCAAAGCCGGCATGGGTTCGTTGGTAGTTCGATGAAGATGAATGTCTCACGTTCATGTCAGGCACTAATTTGGGCCTGTCATCGGGCTGCAGCTTGTGGGGGTTTGATTTGGGGTCTGCGTGCAAAACCCCAAGCAAGTCTCGGAGGTTCTGCTGGTTCCAGATGTGTTTGTCGATGAAGTCTCATCCGACCCTAACAGCTTTACCACTCAGGAGCTACTAGTAGCGACGGCGATGCCGTTTGTTCCTAGTAGCTTCTTGTTACTAGTAATATTGCCAGGAGCTACTGGCAGCGTCCTTGTGCCCGTCCCTTAAGTCCCTTACGCCCAGTTTGCACCTTGCCGCCTGTGGCCGGCTGTGTGGCGTAAGCCTTGAAACCTGCCCACACCGAGCGTGGTAGTCTCGTGTCAATGACACGCAGCTGCTTAGCTTAGCTGGGGGGGCCTTTTGGAAGTCATTGGGCCAAACTAAAAAGGTCAAAACAATTTTGACATTCTATGTTCTCAATTGCGTACAACGATCTTGGGACATTTCATAGCAACCTCTTTAAACAAGATCCGATCTTGGGGCCAAATCAGGCATCTGCGGCATCACATGAAGCAATTGGGGCCGGTTTGCAACTTTGTCAACGGCCCAACACGCGGAGACCGCCAGGTGGAAGCCTCGAAAGATCTTGTATCGAAGAGACGGGAGGAAACGGCTGAACTTCGGGTTGGAGAAAGGACGCGAACAGGGCTCGGAGCAATGTTCGCTACTAGCAACAAAGGGCATCGCTACTAGTAGCAAGGACGCTACTAGGAACTTCGGCCCAAGTTGGAGGCTGAATTGTCCCGCTTCACGTGCGCCCTGTTATATTCTTGTGCAGCTGCACAGCACTGCTGGATCCGGATCATGGCCTAGAAAGAGCTCACTCTTGTAAAACTCTGTGCACCTGCCGCACACGCTTCATACAATCTGTCCACAGTTCTTTCTTCGATCATGGTGGTGCTCTCTCCACTTCAACCAACAATCAGTACCCCCCATATGAGCCCATGTTCTGAAGATGCTGCCCCAAATCGTACCACATAGCCGCTTTTGTGCACTATCGAAATAAATCACTGAGAGTTTTATGCACTTTTTCGATGCCCTCCAAAAATGGGCCTATGCCTCGTTCGTTGAGCTGTCCTGTTCCTTTGCAAAGGTCTTCCCCTTTGGAACGTTCAATTTTCCTTGCTGGAGAAAACATCCTTGGATGGAAAGCACCTCTTCTAGTACAGAACCGTTTCTTGATGCTGCGCGCTTTTTGAAAGAAACCGCAACTATGGGAGCCCTACACTTTATTTGGTCCTTCCAATCATATCCCCCAGTCCAAACTTTCAACTGCGGTTACATTGCCGTGGTCCTTCAATTAAAAGTCCCGTGACCAACGCACACTTATATAACCTTGCGCATCAGCTGCAGCACCATGAGGCCACATCCCTCCTAATACTCCTGATGCTGGTGGCGTTCGCCGCAGAGCGGCATAAATAGACTTGACAAGACCAACCGCCTCATGCAAGCTTCTAGAATTCTAAGGTCCCCACTGTCCGCAGAGAGCCATCACTAGAAACACTCCAGTGCGCCGGCACGTCTGGGACTCTTGCTTGGTCACTTGAGCTTCAAAATGCTGGCCAGGTACGTTTCCAAACCATCGAAGCATGCTACACTCCCGAAACAGCTAAGAACAAATATTTCAAATGGCATGTCTCTGCTTCGCTGGGTGTAACTTGGCTGGTTTAATCAAGCAGAAACGCGGCAAATCCAAACATGACAAACATGTTTCAGGATCCAAAACATTCCGAAACAGCACAGGGTGGTCCACAAAGAAAAGGGCGAGCAGGCACACGGGCGTGGATGAGTGAGGCTTCTGCTTGTAAGCGAGTTTGTGATGTTGCAAGATTTGCATTTATGTTATGCAGGGGCGGGCTTCTTCATGGCATCATGCCTCCATTCTCGGATCAGCACTGCCAAGATTGTTGCGCAGCAGGGAATATCAGGGAATATTGATTTTGCCCCAACACAGGGCAAAAGCTGGGCACCGGACTAGGCTAGCTAGACCAACGAAGCCAGCAATTAATGCGAAGCCATGTGAAGCCACTCCACTCATTTTTGCTCGTCTTCCGATTGGATCGTGAAAGCTGACTCCAGTGATCTGTGACATAGAGTCAACTGGATTAACGATGTACACAGGGCCCAGATGAACAGTCAACAGTAAATCCGAGATGAACAGTAAACTGCACAACCAAAAAGACCTCTAGAACTCTAGGCTCTAGTACTGGTTAGGTATCAGCCCTCTTCTTAGAAAGTTGAAACGCGTGCCTCTAGGTATGAAGGAATGCAGGTGTAGAATGTCCGTACAGCCTGCAAGAACCCCTGCGAGCCACAATTTCCTCAACAGGCGTTCGAAACGAAACAATGTTGGTGCATCACGCACCCTCAGGCCATCACGCACCTCAGACCTTATGACCAAGCTTCGACGGTGTAGCCTCAGCGCCGGCATAGACGCATTCAATTCATTTCAATTCCATACCCCTCCTCTTCCTGCAAATATGCCTTTCGCTTACCCATCAATCCCATTCGACTTATATAAAGACTAGCTTCAGGTTTGACTGACTTGCCCAGTTTGCACTTCTTCCGTTCTTGTTTGCACTGCTCTCCTTCGGTCAACGTTGTTGCCCCTGCCAGGCCACGACCCTCCATTTTCAGGTTGGACAGAATCGCCTCCGCATCTTCTTCTGCACATCTTTGGTGTGCCATCATGACCTGCAACATGGCAAACAGTTTGGGCTGCCACGTCAACAAGTCAGACAGTCAGCATGCCGCATGTTCGATTGTTGTCTTTTCATAATTTTCGATCATTTTCCTATTGCATCTGTCATTGGCAACCACTGAACAAGTGATCTAATCTATCCTCTTCGCCTCCTTCATGGCGGTGTAGATGTCTTCAGGCACTTGCCGTGCGGAACCGCAAACGTAGAAATGTCCTCCCTCATTCAGCATTCGCTCAGCCACATCAAATCCGGCCTCACAGCTGAAGCTGAGCCAGACTGGACGCTGGACCACTGGAGGACACTCCCTCAGAACTCCCTCTCTCACTCACTCTCTCACTCTCTCTCTCTCTCTCTCTGTCTCTGTCGCCCTCGCCTCAACGATTTTGTGCTGCACGTAGATCTTCCGAGCCTGGCAGGTGCACTGCACATCACTGCACCACTGGACGCTACTAGGAGCGGCCACGCTACTAGGAGCAAGGACGCTACTAGGGGCTCCTGGCATCGCTACTAGTTACAGTAACAAGAAGCTACTAGGGGCTCCTGGCAAGAAGCTACTGGGGTAAATCAAAGGGTTGCGAAATGTTGCGAATATATTTCTGTTTTTTTTTCGTTTTTTTTGGGATTTTTTTTTTCTTGCTTCGTGGCAGGTGCAGTACTTTGTGGACCTTGCAAAGCACATTTCGTGGCAGGTGCAGGACTTTGTGGGCCTTGGAGTGCAGAGTTTGTGGCAGGCGCAGGACTTTTTGTGGGCCTTGAAGTAGATTTCGTGGCAGGTGTAGTACTTCGTGGCCCTTGGAGTGCAGATTTTGTGGCAGGCGCAGGACTTTGTGGACCTTGAAGTGCAGATTTCGTGGCAGATGCAGGACTTTGTGGGTGTGGAAGTGTAGAGTCGAGTTGGTGGCAGGTGCAGGACTTTGTGGGCCTTGGAGTGCAGATTTCGTGGCAGGCGCAAGACTTTGTGGACCTTGAAGTGCAGATTCGTGGCAGGTGCAGTACTTTGTGGATGTTGAACTGCAGAAAGATAGAAAGATAGAAAGATAAATTGATAGATAGATAGAATAGATTAGATTAGATTAGATTAGATTAGATAAGATTAGATAGATAGATAGATAGATAGATAGAGGAGGCATATTTGCTTGGTTAGAAAGTTTTGCACCGGGGAGTTCACCTTAAAATATTGATTTCGTGGCAGGCGCGGGTGTCGGGGATGAAGTGCAGATTTCGTGGCGCGGGGGGCGCAGCGCCCCCCCCAGCAGCACACCAGATCCAAAGGTGAGCAGCTCGTGCTTGCTTGCTTGCTTGCTTGCTTGCTTGTTTCGTCTCTGCAACGAAAACAACAGGAAAAGCAAATACAAAAAGAGAAAGGAGAACAGCTGCCAAAAGAAAGAAAGAAAGAAAGATAGATAAATAGATAGGTATAGACAGATACAGAAGCCACAGAAGCCAAAAGCCACAAAAGCCAGAAGCCACAGAAGCCAGAAGCCACGAAAAACAAAAAAAATCCAAAAAAGAAACCAAAAAAAAACAAAAATAAATACCCCTCCAAATCAAAGTGATCTGAAGTCAAGTCTTCGCCTGCTCTCGAGAGAAGGCCGTGTGCATCTGCAAAACGCCCTCTTTCTCGTAGCCCTCAAACTCCTCCCTGTAGAGCCACTCCTGCCAATCATGAAGCAACAGCTTCTCCAGTTCTCAAACTCGGATACAAAGCTCTCCTACATGATCATGCAAAGTATTGCAAGACCGCCAACAAAGCAGTGAAGAAAAGAGTGTACATGCTTAGCGATCTACAACAAAGAGTTTCTGCAAACTGCGCACCTGCTTGTATCGGGCTCCAAAGAACAGCATGCACTTCCCAACCTTGATGCCTTGACGCGCTTGCATCACCCTCTCCTGCCAATACGCATCAGCCGTCTGGTGGCCTTCTGGTGGGCCTATAGAAGCTCAACTGAACTTGTAAAAATCTTGCAAATCCGCCTCCAGAGTTCTCAAGGCTTCTCGCTCGGTCTCTCTTCATTTTGAAAGGTCAAGCTATATGCCTGATGTCTGCGCCTGTCCTGCGTGACTGCACGCCATGGTGCAAGACCAGTGCCCATTCCCGCCATGATGACAGGTTTGGAAGGCTCCTGGAATATCACCCGTGACTCCTATACCAACCCCACTCTATCATGTGCACCAACCTTGACGAACTGTTCGTCGGCAACTTCCTACTGACTCTTGCGAAAAGTCAAAGGAACACCATCAATGCTGAAAGTACAAGCTCCCCGGGGCACCTCAGGCAAGACGATGGCACTCGATCTTACAGCGCACATAATCTGCGCCCCAGGCTTCTGCGTGCGCATGTAGCCTCCAGTCTAGTGTCTTGATCACCCGATAATTACACAAAGGCTTCATATAGGAATATGATGTGTTTCTCTCTTTGCTTGAGGGTCAGATTGCTTGCAGTTCTTGGTGTTTGTCTGTGCCGTTTGTGTAGCAATGTCAAAAGGAGAAGGTCGTGGCCTGTGCATTCGCCCAAGCGAAGCTCCTTGGTACTCTCCACGGTCCAATCGACCAAGACCACACAAAGTTGGATCTTGTCTGGGTGCATCAAGGGAGAACTGGCAATGGAATAGCTCCTGGGCTTGAGCACTGGCATCATCTGCAACAAGTGTTCGATGGGAGGTCGAGCACTTGCAAACTTCTTCAGCACATCTGCATGGTGAGCGAAGTCATGAGTCAAATCCCGATAGAGGGCTGCGCCCTCTTTGCTGTTCTCAACGATGCTTTGGAGCTGCTTCTTCTCTGCTTCATCCTTTGCAAAGAGCGCTAAAGTCTGGAAGAACTTCCTGTTTGGCTTGCCAAAAATGTCCAAAACATGGGAGAACAGTTGACGCACACTGAGCTCTGTTGGACACCAGTTGCGGGCACCCTCCAACGGAAGGATTCGGAGATGCTGCGCAGCATCAAATCCCATCATTTCACAGAACTCTAAGACCTTGTCCTGCGGATTGCGGGGCCAAATAGCAA